AGATATAGATATAGATAGATATAGATATATAGATAGATACACACACATACAAATTCAGTATGACAAATGTGTTGGTTATGCCTAAAGTGTGAGTTTAGAGTTTAGATTGTTTTTTTTTTTAATAAATACCATATTTATAATGTTTTGATTTGTTCTCTAAAATACTCAGTGTTCTTTAAGATTATTTAGATTAGCAAGATAACTACAGAGACCCAGAAAGTTATAAAAGTACCATGATATCAAAACTTATTCTATTAAATACATCTTTTCAGACCTACTGGTATGAATTCCAAATCTCTCTTCAGTATTTTCTTGGGTAATAAATGCTCGCATGTAAATTTTACATGTGTGAAGACACGGATATGAAAAGAATATTTGTCTTGGGTTTTTCACTTACCTGGTCTCCAAACTGAATTTTAAAGAGGTATATCTAAGAAAGGTTGTGAAAAAAGTCCATTCTGACAGCAAATCAGTCTGGTTAAGGAGAAACCAAGCAAGCTACATCATTAGGCTGATGAGTCATAGAGATGTTTCTGGCCTTTTCAGGTGGTTGCTCCATTCCAGGAGAATCACTCCCAAGTACACCAGATTCTATGTGGGCAAGTGTGAAATCACACACATGCCCCTGAACTTCAGGACTGGAGGATATTAGGGTAACTTTGAAAGAAACAAAGCAACATTATTCCTAAAATAGCTGAATCTTTTTAACTTTCTGGAACTTTCTTCATTTTATTTCATTTTCAAAGTTATTTGTGGATGAGAGAACTCTGAATGTGTTAATATATTTACTCTGAGCACATATTGGTATGGCCTGATGGTACTGGGAAGCTATGGAAGATTAAAGAGCTAGAATGGGTTGTCAGTGTTAAAAGTGAGTACATCCAGCACAAATAGTTCAAGCTAGAAAAAAATGTTGTGAGGTAAGTAAATGTGATGACCTTTGAGTGATTCTGTGTTGTGACTTATGACTGCATTCTGCAAAAATATTCACATGTCCATAGTTTTATTTTAATCAAACATAATTTACATTGTGAAAAAGAAAAACGCTCATGAAAAAGAATCCTGATCTTTATTGATGATGCATAATGGATAAAAGGAAATCAGAACAACATACAGAATGTACTCTACAGTTCAACAAAAAAATAAATGTTTATACTGCCGATTGACATATGTATTTTTAGTTACAAAGACATTACAGTATTTCACAGTTTTCTTTTAACTACTCTGTCATTTTCCAGACAGGAACGGTGGTATTAAAGTGAACAAGTAGGCATATTTTTCTTGTCTAGCATATATTTTACTCTGATTTAAATAAATACATCTTTTGAAAGATTTAATACTAATTTAAGTAGTACTAGAGAGTTTGTTGAATAATAAAGCATTCACCCCAGAAAATTCCACACTCTGTAGCAATTTATGACTATATACAGAATAACTAAGTTATCTTTACAGTCTATTCATCTGTTTTTAACTATTTTACAAAAATTTATTAAGTCTACCTTTTTCTTTGTCCATTTCAAGTAATTTTTAGGCCAATAAACTACATGTTTGATAATTATTTAAAAAACTGGTTGTATCCTCATTTAATTAACTTTGATACCGCTGTTGAAATAATTGAAAATATAGTTAACACATGTAATTTTATGAATGGGGATTTAGCCTGCAAAAAATTAAGCAATTAAAAATATGAAAAAACAAATTAAATGATTTTAGTTTTGTTGTGTTTGGGGACTTCTTAGTATTTACTGAAAGAATTCAAAGGATTGAATGATTCAGAGTGAAGGTTACTTGGGTATAAGTTTATTTGTATAGATCTTCCTATGCCTCCTTAGAAGAAACATGTTTGAAACATTTTATATCATGTAGTATAAGTTCCAAAGTAATTGATACAACTTTATTTTCACAAAAGCCTCTTGTAAAGTGTAGTCAATATAGGTTTGTTAGGTGATAGCTACATTATTGTTATAATAAGCTATAAGTGTGGAGAAGTTACAAGATATTTAATTATACATTGATCTTTTATATCCTGTTTTACTAAAATGTTTAAAAGCACCTTATAGGCATCCACTAAATGAAAACCTCAGCTCGTTTTCAAAGTAAAGGCATGTTTTAATCTTAAAAGTAAAGTGAACTATATATTAGGTCTTCCAGAGTTAATCTATTCAATATGAACAAAGTTTTTAAATTTGTATTTGTCTTCTGTATTAAGCAGAGAAAGTTATTGTTTCCTTTATAAAAGCTTTTATAAAATTATTTGAAATTAATAGGTTGTAGATGTTAAGATTAAAACAATTGAGAGGGAGGAAAAAGCCTTAAAAGCCCAAGATAAGGAGCAATTAATCAACTACATTTGTTGAAATAAATTAAACTGCTGAATAATACATCAGGAAATAAAGAATAAGTGTTGTATGTCATGGGGAGATGTAAATCACGTAAGTTTTAGCAGTGAAGGAATTTTTTAAAAGTATGTAATACAAGAAGGGAATGAGAATATATAACATCATAGACTCTCAGCATTAAGAGGGACTTGAAAAGTTATCTAGTCTGATTGATTATGTGATATTCAAATTTCTATTTCGCCTATCCATTGCCAAGTTGTTATCCAGACTATGCTTTAATTGCTTATGACGTGGAGCTTAGTACATTTTGGGGAAGCCCATTTCATTTTTGAATGAATTTAATTTATAGAAAAAGAAATAAGTGAACTGAAAAAAAGTG